TATTCAAACCGTAACTGACCGCCTCCCTTCTATCTATGCAAAAACACTGAAACGAAAGTGAAACAAGTGTAATTTGTGATAGTGTATACCCTCAGCCCTACTATTACGAATATTTAGGAGGAAATGGAAGAAAAACCTTGTGGAGTAATAAGGCATGCTTTGGACAGAACAATATTGCTTCAAGTGTTCTATTATCGATTATTACATTACTTGGAAACCTCCCACAAAGAATACGCAACATGCAATAAAATAAGCTGAAAGTCCTGTGGTAAGTTTAAGACAAACTTTTCAGAGTAAGGCTGTGTGCGTCGGTGGCACAATGGTTAGGTCGTTCGCCTACCATGCACATGGTCCGAAGTTCGATCCGCAGCCGACGCGTGTGCGTCACACCTGATATCAATGGTCGGCCAGCAAAATTTGGGCTACCGATATCAAATGCTGAAAACTTCATACTTGTAACAAAATACTGTGTGGAATCAAACTGTAATGAATAATATGAATATGGAAATATCGGTAGTATTACCACTTCCTTGGATTGTTGATATTAGATGGCTAGAGGCAATCGGCAGGAAACCTTCGACCTAGGTTTCATACTAGTTGACACTTACCAGTCAGCAAGGCGTGTCTGCAACCTTAAAGGAACTCATGTTCCTTCCCAGATTCGAACCAGAGTCACACACCGAAATCGGAGATGCTACCACTGAGCTACTGGGGCTCTCGATTACCATAAGTATAATTAGTATTATTTGAAACAGTGAACTCTCTCTAGGCTTTTTATTTTTGAGTAATCTGCAAAAATCATTCATATTTTTATCAATCTTGGTCAAGCTGGATGAAAAAAATTTACGGTTGTTCTGATTGTTCCACTTACTTAATTTACTCTAAGTACGATCATCAGATAATATCCATATTATATGCTTCAGTCAAAGTATACTTTCGGTTTTACCCAACGATCTGTATTAACTTTTACTGTGAGTTGAATTTCAACCCTGAATAAAATAAACAGTTGCTGAATAGTTTGAGTGTCTATTTTATTAACATAGGCATCAAAGTACAAGCTACGAAACGGAAAGGTGAATTAAAAGGTATTGGAAGTTGTTTGATTCCACCGGTTCTAGTAAGTCTCTTGATTTATGTTGTCAAAGTTGCATAAATTCACCTCAACAGAAGGTTTCTCGTTATAGCCGGCTGAAATATTGAAATCTTTTCAAAATTAGTTACCTGCATCCTCTATGATTAGCTGGCTTCAAATGTGCTAATGAAACTATATTTACGCACAATGAGTCCTATTTGTTCAAACAATTTAGCCACAGCTAACAGAATCTTAGGCTTACTATGGGGTAAGAAAGTAATACAAACCTTATTGTATATATGCATAAAATTTTATACTACTGATTGTTTGAAATGAGTAGTTGCATACCATTCATATTAAATAGCATTGTTCGCTAGCTACTCATCCCAATCGACCAGTAGTATAAAGTATATACAAATTTGCTGGCCTTCATCATTACCAATTTAGGTATCCTTCAGAGCACATATTGTGATCGGAACAACTTGGTTTCCAAACGAAACTATAATGGAATTTCACCACTTGGAGAATGTAAATTGCAAATTGCTAACCAATTTATAAACAGTGAACTTTTTGAAAATCACCATACTAATCAGAAGAGTGTCATTTCTGAAAAGTGCAGATGTTAGATGAATAGATGAATAGGTAAGAGCTTGAATTCCCTTAAAGAAAGGAAAAATTCTAATGCTTATTCCAGTTAAGAAAACTGACAATGCAATGAACTGACAGTATATGAATAGCTTTCTCTACCAAAAGCGAGATTGTAAGACACTATCACATTGATTGATAAAATCTCAAGAGTACAGTCGAAGGGTGTCCTTGGTATCAGAAAATTTTATTGAGTTGCTCGAAGTCCTGTTGTTTTTCGTAAGAAGATCTACTGAAAAATCTTTTTGATTGCACACTAGTCAGTAACCAGTGTAATGTGTCTAGTCCTATCTTCGGTGCAGACTGAAATCTAACAGTCATGTTTGCAATGTGGCCACCATGCTAGGTGGCTCGCCATTACGGTGCACTGTGAATTGTTGGTATTAGATGGTTGAAGGCAATCGGCAGGAAGCCTTGGACCTAGGTTTCGTGCTAGTTGACACTCATCAGCAAAGCGTATCTGCAACCTTGAAGGGACATCAGTTCCGATTTCCTCCAACCATCTAATACCAACAATTCACAGTGCACTGTAATGGCGAGCCACCTAACATGGTGGCCACATTGCAAACATGACTGATAGATTTCAGTCTGCACCGAAGATAGGACTAGACACATTACATTAGTTACTGACTAGTGTGCAATCAAAAATATCCAATACAGTCCTACAGGAAGTCAGTCGCGAGCCTGAATAGCTCAGTGGTAACGTCTCTGACTGCAGCACTGGGTGACGCGGGTTTGAATCTCAGAAGGGACATCAATTCCTTCTAGGTGGCAGATACGCCTTGCTGACTGGTGAGTGCCAACTAGCACGAAACCTAGGTCCAAGGCTTCCTGCCGATTGCCTTCAACTATCTAATACTGAAAAATCTTCATGACCGTGGTTTTACTAACAAAGTTAGGTGGATAGTGGTGATGTTCCTTTCTGCTAATTGATTTCATAGTCGTATTACCTGCAGCAACAATAATTATAGCTTTATTCTAGATAGTAATTTTGGTGTAAGGTGGAATTTTGAGTATGTAATACACAAATGAATCTAATTTTCTCTTCATATTACATATTACGAGGGATATAACTAAACAGGATATTTACATTGATTGTGATATCAGTCGAGTCCCACTGGCTGAATGGTACACGAGCTTACCTTGTAACCGGAAGGTCCTGGGTTCGAACCCGAGTGAGTGCGTACTGCTAATGATTCCCAAACTAGGGTGAAACAGCCATCCAGTACTAACTAACTTTCAATGGTACTCCAAATGATATCAATCCATGATCAAACTTGAAAAAAATCTAATCTTTACAAATCGACTCTTGAAAAAAAGGAATGTGAATGTAAAGTCAAAATTAGATGGAAATATTTAGAACACTATTTTAATAAAATAAGTGACAAAAAGAGCCATTTGTTGTGTTTCACAGTAAGTTAATATTGTCATGCCTTACACTTTTCTCATCACACAAAATGCGTGCGATATGAGGCACTGTGGAATTTTTATGCTTAGTCATCCGACCGTATAGCCTACTATAGGTGCTTCTAGTTCTATCTGATGAGATGTAAGGAGGAAGTTGTGTATAGAGAGGATGCTCACGGTCAGACAACATATTGTTCGTAAATTTCCCGCGTGAGTTCACGTGCCTTTCCATAACATTATTAGCAGTACCCCACTCGTCCTATTGACAGCGTTTGGTACCCTTCAAAGTTTAACAAAATCTTTCTTAAGTAACCCAAGAAATATTAAGGGGAAACTATAAAGAAGAATAGGTCGAATACAAGAATTAACAGACTGTAAAATCAAAGACTCAGTGGTTGTCGGAACTTCCTCACATTGAATGAAACATCTTTCTGGAGACTGCCATGATGATTCGAGGAAGGAGATAATCCAAGGTATTAAACATTCGACTCAGTTTCAACTTCAGTGCCATCTTTGATGCAGGAAAGAGCCAGTTCGTGTAAATCACGCTTGTGTTTGGAAGGGAAATTAACAATCTGACTGATATGTGACTAAAATGAGAATAGTCAGATTATCAGCATACTTAACAAAATCTACTTCATAAGAATGAGACAAATCATTTAGGAAAAGAGAAAAGGAAAATGATTGACACGTTGAGTGACATTAGCTATGGCAAGTAAAGCAGTGAGAGACTTCCTAATGTATACAGTGTGTCACTATCTATCAGAAAAATAAGAATTCAACCATTTATTAATCATGCATCCTGCTTGCATCTTACCAGCCTTGTTTAACAAAAGATGGCTCGAAGGCAGATGTGCATTCTAGGAGGACATACTGAGCAAGTTTAACAGCTCTCTATAAGGTGAAGGAAATCAGACAAGAAATAATCACAGTATTTGTGAAAAACAGTGCATTGAAAATGCCAGGAAGATGACACAAAATATCCGCACATCTTCCAAGGATAATACTGGGCACTCCATGTAAAACTAGGAATTGAATAGGTTACAGGGATTGGAGATATTTGAGAACATCATCAAAACTCATAATATCTGCCAGATGACACATGGAAGACTTATTAAGCCTACCAGCATCTAATGAGGGATGATTATTTATTGAATTTCCACCAGCAATTCCCTTAAACAGTTTCTGTGCGTTTGCAAAGGTTCTGCATGATAGGAACTTTCGGTTATAGATTACATTTGATCTGTTCATTTCAGACTTGATTGAAATGGTAAGTATTTTTATGCCAGAATATTCTTTCATTTTATATGAACTTTTATTTTCTTGGCTAAACTTTCTGATTTGGGAGGAAAAAAGATGGTAAAAACTTAAGAGAAGTTTTACTTTTTGGCAATAAACATCGAGACAGAATTTGGTATTGTTATTTAGAACTTGTTCTGTCAGTCAGTATCTTTTATCATGCTTTTGAGATTCTGTATGTTGTGCTGTGAGTAATATCTATGTTGAGTCTTCTTGCTCATGTTCAAGAGGGCCCTTTGGTGTATATTTCCGTGTATTTCTAGTAATATTCATATAATGCAACCTGATATCAAGTGAATACACTGATATTTTTAGGAATATACTGGAAATCATGACTACATGTTGTGACTATTTCCAGTACATATGTTGTAAAGCTTTCTGTGTTTGAAGTAGCGCACACTAGAAACCTTGTAAAGTAAAGTGCAGGAATTAAGTCATTTGGTGAACAGAGTCCAAAGACAAGTTATACTACAAGCATAAAACAATGGTTGCAGTCGATGAGAAACATTCAACTTGAGAATACTGATGGAAATAGTATATTTTATTCATATATAGAAATTAATATGTTTAACTATTCAAAAATTCACTTAAATTTACTGAGATATTTCAGAATGATATAAACAAGCACAGTGTAAAGGAAACACACTGATTTCCAACTAACGTTTGATGATGAATTGCATAAATTTTCTTTACAACAGTAAAATTTAGCATCGGGAAATTTTGGTAACCTGTCACACGAATCGAAGCATGATCTTTCGACAAGTCTTTTCGGTTGGTTATAAATGACTTTCTAGAAAGGAAAAAACAAAATTATATGTGTATGTATCAGTAAAACGGAAGATATTATTCTCAAGCTGTACAATCGCATATTGTCTGAGCAACAAAAGGAATATTTCCTACGCTGTGTCAATAGGATTGTAAATTTTAGCTAATAAATTCCGTTAATCGGTTAGAAACTAAAAAAAGGTTGAATAAGCAAGTTGAGTGACGTTATCTAATTGACGCAGTTGAGTAGAGTTCAACTCAAACTATATTTGAACAAAAGTCAGATTAACAACAGTTATGATAACTGGTACAGATTTAACAATGGATGAGGGAAAATAATAATACAATTAGGAAACAAAAATTACGTATTGGGTATTAAGATAGACTAGTTTCATTGTAGATTTACTGACTGAGTAAACTTCTTTTGAATTAATATCAGTAAAAAGTTTGAGCATTGTGGATTAGATCAAATAAAGTATAAAGTATATTTCAATAGTTTACACACAATGATAAGTTTTGTTATTAGTAATATTTCGAGCAAAATTACTGCCCGTGTTCACACCACTGTTGGAATTGTTTTATTCACACATTTATGATTTGCAATCATATATATAGTTCATTATTTTTGTTCATTCATGTTTTTGTATTCAGAATTATATTCCAAGTTGTTGATAGTTGTACTGAGTTACCCTTGTTACATGTATCCGGTGTCAACTTAATGAATATCGATTCTATTATAAGTCTTTCTTTCCATTTGTTCATGTTAGTTTTTAGAATACACACATTGTTCCAATCGATATTGTGGTTTTTGTTCCATGCATGTGCAGCTATCGATGAATTTTTTTCAAGATTCTTGTTGGCTTGTGTTCCTGTTGGTTGACCTTTGGTTAGGCGTTTATGTTCATTCACTCTTATTTCGAATGATCTGGACGTTTGCCCCACATATTTAGTCGGACAGTCAGCACAAGATATTTTGTAAATCAAGTTGTTTTTATCCATCATTTTTATGGGATCTTTCAGTTGATTTATTTTATTTTTGATTAGATTTGTCGGTTTAAAAGTTGTGTGAATGCCGATATTTTTGAGGTTTCTTTGAATTGCCTCTGATGTACCATTTTTATATGGTATTGTGACTGTTTTCTTGCAATTCTTCCATCTTGTTATTCTCCGGTTTAACTCTTTTTTTAATATAATCTTTTATAAATTCTTTTGGGTAGTTGTTTTCGAGTAGCATTTTGAATAGGACGTTTATTTCTTTACACTGGTCTTCTGACGTTGTTGTAAGTCTACGTATTCTATCTTTTGTATGCAGATTCCAGGATTTAACATATGATCAGGTCTTCCAGAATAGATCGAATCAGGATACCAAGCGAACACACAAAACAAACTCACACTTGTCTACAGAATACGTGGGAATCTTGTTAAAAGAGTACCAATCAAACTTCGTCAAACCACAGAAACAATGGCAATATATATATGTTAAATCCCCCACTCCTTAAAAAATCTCTACCCACATATTACCGCTGTTGTTTTAATTTACTTTTGTTCAATTTTAATTTTAGCCGAACTCTACTCAACCGCATCAATTAAATAACGTCACTCAACTAGCTTATTCGATCTTGTTTTAGTTTCTAACCGATTAACGGAATTTATTATCTAAAATTTACAAATCCTATTAACACAACCTTGAAAATATTCCTTTTGTTGCTAAGACAGTTTGCTATATACATATGCGATTGTACAGCTTGACAGTGATATCGCCGAATGAAGCAACTCTTTACTGAATGCCTTTTCTTTTATAAGACTCAATGGGCCTTTTTAAGTTGCTAAAACAGAAAATGTTATGGTTCTATTATAAACTAAGACATTCTGTCCTGGAATATTCTTAAAAAATGTTTAAAGCTTAAAAGACATCACAAAATAAACACTTCTACGCAACTGCAAATGATTAAGGGACTTGTTTAGATATTGCTTGGTGAACCAAATTAATCGCGGTACAGTATGTGACTTAGAATCACCCTTGTAAAATTATTGAATTTCCTTACTGTTTCAGTGTAATCACTCCTAATTTTCTGCAAGTTTATCACGTTTCAACAAACTGGTATTTTCTAGATCAGCAATAACTGGATATGACTAAGCAAAGAGTTAGTGAAGACTACAGAATGTTTGATTCATCCCTAAAGTATGTTCACTTATGATCAAGCATTAATATACCCCAATGGTAACACCATTTGCTAATTATCTGTTTTAATGTAATGAAATAGCTTACGTGTATTAGTGACTTTATAAAGTCTACTACCTTTTATATTGATAGTAATTGTACAGGTGATTTTAAGTGGAGAAAAGTAAGCTTAAAATGTCAAAATTAAAAATGTTAAATATGGTGACTTCTTTACTGTATACCAAGCAGAGGTATTCGCTAAAACTACTGAATGTTATGGTATTCACAAATTCTACCACAGCAACGGGTGAATAAAATACCTCTGTACATCAATATGTAGCACTTACCACGCAAACTGGACAACCACGAAATTTCGCTGTATTTTTATCAACTTTATCACAATCATTGCATTGATAACACGTGAGATCATTTGCTAAAACTAATTAATAAACCAGAAAAATATTAGTCACTTCTGTTGAGATAGTAAAAAAGAGAACCACTAAAATTCAAAAGTTCATGTACATTGCCTACGTGTTACTCAATCAGTGAGAAGTAGTGAAGTGTGTTTGAAAAACATTCTTAAACACATGATCCAATTTAGTGATATTTTTACTGCAGTATTAATGAAAATGGATTTTCACATTTCTGTCACTTATGCACAATGAAGGGAATATCATTCAGAGGGGGTTCAGGACTTCTATATTTCTATACAAGTGCATCGGTGGCATAGCGGTTAGGACGCTTGCCGACCACGCACATGGTCCGGGGTTCGATCCCCGGCTACAGACGCACTCCTTTACCTCGCTAAGCCAGAAATAATGCTGGTATAGAGGAAAGGTTGGGTATGAGGCTAGCAACACCATCCTGTAAAATAAACACTGCTACAGACACTTCAGGCCACTAGCTTGAAGCCCTATGTTCCACTAGGGAACGTGAAGGATAAAAAAATATTTCTATACATCAGTAGAAAGTTGTCATCATCTAAGCAATTAAGGATAACACTCACAAGAAAATATTGGTTAAGATTGAAATAAAATTCATTGAGCACCTCAATACTGACAGGTAGATTATCGCTGTTTTGTTTCCCAGCAGTGAACAGTAAACGTTGGTATATATTTCCTGACTTAGATGCTAATTTTTCTTCATAAATCATTTCTTTTATTATGTTCTCATAACTGAAGAATGAGTAATTATCTGTTGAAGTTGATCTTACCGCGTATTTTTTGAAAATAACTATAGAGGTGATTTAAATTGGCTTAGCGCTAGATTTACTAGCTGGATTCTTATTAATAATATTAAAGCATTCCCTTGAACTCACTTACTTATATAAATAAGTCTTGCTAGTCTGTGGCAACAGGCTTCATATTTAAACACATTAAAATTGCTTCTTCGTTGTTTTATGATGGTGTACGTGGATTATTGCATCAGGGATGCTTAGAATTTACTAACTTCCTAGTGGTGCTCATTCCAACTGGTGTATTTTGAGGATATACCATATGGTAGCCCATTCTTATTGATTGATTTTTTATCGTCAGACTGCTATAGCCAGATAGACTAACTCATTATGTAGATGTGTGGATACACTTCACCTTCTTAGCCAGAGAAACTGATCAGAAAAACCAGATAAAAACACACAGTATGTCAAAAAGCCTAATTTGAACCGTCGACCCGATAACAAAATACAGACTTTAAATCTGGCAGTATCGAATATGATATCCAGATGTCTGATAAGCATCTGAGACGTATTCTATACGAATAGTTGCATTTCACCGTAAATGTAGGTGACATAAATTCAATGTTAGAAGATAAAGGCTTATAAGTATTCCATTTACAATATGTCATGAATAAATTGAGATTACTGTCGATTTGAGTTTAACTGAGAGTGCGTTTTAATCCCTTTTCCCGAAGAGCAGCCAACAGGCCTAACACCTTTCACTAAGCATATATTCAGTGGAAAAAGACAATGTTTTCAAAATTTACAAATTAAATTCCTCAGTTACACAACTTTCGCTTACCTGACAGGATCCCAAAGTTCACTAATAACAATCGAAATATCCACATAGTCAGCATTAAAGAAAACTAAATTTTCTGGTAATAACCACTTTTGATAAAGTGAATTTCACCGTTTATATAGTTCCCTATAACTCTTCTGGACGTGTAATATATTTAAAAACAGTTAGAGACTTATGGTCACAATGGCTTTCACCTTGCTAAAGAAACATGTATAAGCTAGTAAATGCATAATTGCAATCTTGGAGATTCTGATTTTGGCACACGTGCTAAAACATGCCTAAAAACATGCACATTTGGTCTTTTACAAACACGTTTAAAATAAAAGATTTGTAAGAAAAAAGTTGATTTAACTTACTTCTTCGAATGGATCTTTTAACAAAGATATTAAATTTTCAAGTATTGGTTTGGTAGGGATTTTGCTTAATTGCATTGAGGATTTCATCATGAACTGACATCAGTTAGAGAACCACTGGAAAACCTGGGAGTACTGGACAGCCGTTTCGTCCTAGTTTGTTACTCTTCAGCGTTACGCGCCCACCTGGATACAAATCCTATTCACGCAGTTAACCTGGGGTTCTGGTGTGAAGCCGTGACCAGTAGGGTACAGCAGGTTGAAGATGAGGCAGTAACTCATCTAAGAAGACATTGCGAGATGGTCGCGCTGTCGTGAATTGGCAGAAGTTAGAATTCAAGGACCATTGGATCGGGTCCCGTGGCTCAATGGTCTACGAGCTCGCCTTGTAACCAGAAGGTCCTTGGTTCGAACCCTGGCGGTGGGCGCGTACTGCTGAAGAGTCCCAAACTAGGACGAAACAGTTGTCCAGTACTCTCAGGTTTTCCAGTGGTTCTCCAACTGATGTCAGCTCATGATGAAATCCTCCATGCAAAGATATTAAAGCCAAGTAATGTATAAACAATTCACGGAAAAGTTTACTTCATAATGGAGATAGTGGATGCCAAATTATCGACTTTAACAAATGAATATACAACAGTTTTTACAACTTTCCAATTGGAGATGCTGAAAGAAGAGGAAGAAAACAATGAGACGTAATAATGTCAACTACTTAAGTATATTTAATGTAATGAAAAATTTACATGATGAAATACGCGCAAAGCTATGAATAAAAGCAAAATATTGGTATTAGATGGTTGGAGGCAATCGGCAGGAAGCCTTGCCTGGACCTAGGTTTCGTGCTAGTTGGCACTCACCAGTCAGCAAGGCGTATCTGCAACCATGAAGGAACTGATGTCCCTTCTGAGATTCGAACCCGCGTCACCCAGTGCTGCAGTCAGATACGGTACCACTGAGCTATTCAGGCTCGCGACTGACCTCCTGTAGGACTGTATTGGATATTTTTGATTGCACACTAGTCAGTAACTAATGTAATGTGTCTAGTCCTATCTTCGGTGCAGACTGAATTCTATCAGTCATGTTTGCAATGTGGCCACCATGTTAGGTGGCTCGCCATTACGGTGCACTGTGAATTGTTGGTATTAGAACATGACTGATAGAATTCAGTCTGCACCGAAGATAGGACTAGACACATTACATTAGTTACTGATTAGTGTGCAATCAAAAAGCAAATTAAAATCACTTCATGATATCATTTGATGTATCTTCCTTATTTACCAATGTACCATTTATGGAAACAGTAGACTTTGTATAGGAAGAACTTATAAGACGAAACAGCGATGTCAGTATTCCTATATCTTATAGGGAAAAGCTTCTTTTGAAATGCACAGTGAATATTCACTTTTTGTTTAATAAAGAACTGTACATATAAACTGGTGTGACAAGGAAGTCACTACTATGACCCATTCCTTGCAAAACTAGAGAACAGGCCTTTGAAAGATGTAATTAATCAGCTAGAATTCTACTCTCGGCACATAGATGTTACATTTTTGATTATGAAAAATGAGGATTAAGCAAAGATTATCCTGGACGAATTTAATGATTTTCATCCCAAAAATAAATTTTACCATTTTTAGACGTCTTTATGACCAGAAGATTGGATGACACAATAAGAAGTGTATTAGGAATATTTAAATTAACTGGTCAGTATACTCATATTTTCAGCTTCGTGCCTTTGAAATACAAACGCAATCTAATAAAATGCTTGGTCCACAGAGCAAAAGCAATCTGCTCTGAGGAATGTCTTAATGAAAAGCTTATTATTATTAAAAAGTTGCTGAGTGAGAATGGTTACTCAGAAAAATTCATCGATATGAATATGAACCAAAAGTCAAGGCAGACCAAAGTAGCAACGGTTCCAAAATGGCCTTGTTCTTACAACTTCAGTTCCTCGGTGACAACATCAGTGAGATATTAACACAACGCCTAAGGAATACGGTGGTAAAAAGAGCATTCAGTGCTGATGAATCACGCCTATTTTCCGTTTAGGAGTTAAAGATAAACTACCTAATTTCATCTCTTCTATGTGCATCTATCAATTTGGAGCCAACTGCAAAGCCTGTAAAATTAGGCGTGTTTATCGTCGGATTCCCGAACACCACCCTGCGTGGTTAAGTAGGGGACAAAAATATCCATTCATAGTTCCATACTGTTTCATCTCTTAGATACAGAACACGAAACTGATGTAAATCAGGCCTTCAAATTCATTTACCGTATACCGACTAAGCTTCATTTTACCTCAAGAGGTCGGCTATTTCATATATTGCTTAGGCTGGCTGTTGGGATCCACATTAAGAAGCCTAATGTATCTATCCAAATGAAATTGGTTCGGATGCTTTCCTTACTATGGCCATCAAAGTTTTAGTGATTCTTAATTTGTTGTAGGGATTTCCTTTATATCATTTGACATTCCGTTTACTATTACATCTTTATGCTTACTATAACCTATGCATCTTTCTTCAACCGTAGTTTCACTGATTTTTAGAAAACGAAATGATTGAGTGAAGAAATACTAACTTTTCGACGGGATCCGCATCTCTGGCTCTACTCTAGCATATACAGCATTTTTAATACAATATACAATAATATACCAGTCAAGGGACGATATGTTTTTTAACAGTAGTTAATGAATATCAACATGTCAGGGGCCTTGATAATAATCAAGATAGATAATTAAAACAATTAAAGGGTAGAAATGATTACAACAATAATAAGACGCAATTAAAAATGAAGTAGTTAGAAAAATAATAGTAAAACAATTTGGTCAATTATCATTTTTAAAGATTCAGAGGCAAAGTAGTCTGGTTCATACATTCATGTAATGATGGCCACAGTAAGGAAAGTAGCTGTACGAATTTCTTCTGAACACACGGGTTTGGCTTCTTCAGGTGGCTTCCTGTGGCTTCAGCCGTATGTAGAAGACGAGCTCTTAAAGTAAAATTAAGCTTGGTAGGAATGCGATAGATAATTTTAAATTCTGTATTTACATCAACTTTATGCCCACTATGTACAAGTTGGGCTAAAACAGAGCTACGAATAGATCTTGTTTGTCCTTCGCTTAACCATGCCGGATGATGTTTGGAAATGCGATGGTGTAATAAAATGCTATATATATTAGAGCAGGGCCGGAGCTGAGGATCTAATTGAAAAGTAAATGTTTCTTCGCTCAATCTTTTTTCTTTCTAAGTGTCTAAAGGGGAATATTTTCTATTTCACTGATTTTAACAAATCGATAGTATTTAAAAAAACGCAATATTGTTAACGATGATTATTCTTGCATATTCAATGTATGTAAGTATATATATTTATTTGTTGAAACGAAATAGGAAATTATCGAGAGGAATATACTTTCCCAGAATTTACTCTGGTCTTCTAAATGTCTGAATGAATATTTTTGCCATACAGTTAAACTGCTGTTTTTACAAGGACTTTAAGGTGAAGTGTTTAGTATTTCAAATGATATATATATATATAGAAATGTGCATTTTGGATTCTACTGCTAAGCACAGTGGTACAGTGGTTAGGACTGTCGCCGACCATGCACATGGTCCGGGGTTCAAGCCCCCGCCGACGCACACCTGATACCTATGGTCGGCCTGCGAAATTCGGGCTACGGATATTCATGCTGCAAATTCGATTCTTGTACCGAAATTACGGTGTGGCATCAAGCTGTAATAAAAAATTAAAAATTAAAATGAATAAATGAAGCTGTGCTACCCAAATAACTCAAGTTATGAAGTTTATAGCTTGTGGTTAGCATTAAGTAAGCATTAATAAACCAAAATAGATTTAAGACTCTGATTTATTTTTTCTGGAAAAAAAATAACTCATTGAAAACATCTCACTACGGATCGTCAATTTAAATTATTCCCTTCAGTCGTAGCACAAATAATTACGAAATCCCCTTATCAAAAAAATGTCAGATCTACTCGTCTAAGATAATAATACACGACTAGTTGTGTATCTGGTACAGATACACAAATAACTCCATCAGAAGAAGAAATCTAAAAGAGGTTACTTCTTTCAGTTATCTAGGAAGCACCGTTTCAACCACAGGCGAATAGCCTGGATGAAGATATCAAAGCAGGACTGAATTGGAAAGGTAAGATATGCCTTCAACAACCTGAAACCAGTTTGGAAATCCGCACTGCACTAATCCAGCATAAGTGACAAGATTCGAATTTTCAACAAAGATGTGAATTTGGTGAATGCTTGTGGATGTATCAGAAACTTGATGTGTCATAAAAGGGATTTCCAAAAAGTTACAGACTATTATCAACTGCTGTCACTTCACTGGTTCCATGGTGAAGATCGAATAATCAGCCGATCACAAAGAATTAGCAACAAGAAACTATGGCCAGAATTAACCAAGACTTGACTGCTCAACAAATATGTAGGAGAAAATGGAGATGGATAGGCCAAACTCTGAGGAGACCATCGAATGACATCACGCGCAATGCAGGCGATCACTCGAGTGGAACTCCTATGGGAAGCGACGAGGGCGACATGGGAGAGAACGTGTAGCAAACAGGAAATGAGAGAAAATGGTTAGTCGTGGACCCAGGTGAAGGGGACAGCAGAAAATAGGGGAAAGTTGAGATATGTTGTTGAAGCCCTATGTTCCACACGGAACCCAAAGGAATAATGATAATCATAATTGTGTATCT